GCAAATGCTGTTTTTATGGTTTTTAGACAGAAACATGATAAGGGCCATGTTTTATTTTGCTTCATCCTGTCAATCCAAATATCTGAGTGTTCTCATCCACAATGAATGAATAATTCAAGACATTTAAAAGAAAACTACACAGGATAACAATCTGCTAATGATCACTACCATTCAGATATTTATGATTTAAAAAAAAAAAACTTAGTTGGAATTAAGAGGGCAGTTAAAAGCTAATTTAAAGGTATTCTCAAATTAAAATCCACCAGACAGTAACATAATTACAGGGTTGGCTACTTGTTAAGAAACTTGTTAATTGCAAGATGAAATTATTTTAAATTCAATTACAAGTTCCAGTCTACTCATTTTTCAAAACAGGGAGTGTTTGCTAAGCATGAGCACCTTTTAGTAGTAGTAAGCAGGCATATTTAAAATGTTTTAAAATTAATTTACACATATAAACAAGTTCAAACAAGTTGTGAAATGTAATATTTTGAAAGGGCATCCTTACATTAAACTGGATAATCTGTCAGTACTGCAAAGCTAATTAGCATTTATGTAGTGCGAATTTGCTCATCAATCACAAATGCCACAACAACTTACTGATGATCAGCTGTCCTTGAGTTTTCCCACTTTTGATTACATATTAGTGAATTGATGTATCAAATTAAAATCCTGTTTCTCCCATAGATGGCTTGTATTAAACCTCTTTACAGTGTGAGAATGTATTGGTTTGGAAAGCAATATGGCAGATCACTTGCTTATAAAGAAGTGTCATCTAAATTAATATAACTGGTCTCAATCCAGCTTTTATTTCATGATTTTTTGTTGCTCTGAGAAAATAAAGTCTATGCATTGATTATTGTTCATAAATTATTTTTTATTGTTGACAAAAGAAACAGGTCATTTATTCATAAATACAAAATTAAAGACATGAGTCCATGTATATTTTACAGTACATTAAAATGAAGGATTTAACTTAGCAAAAGGAAATACATGATCCTTAAAAATATATTCCATTTAATGTATCTTTTTACTGAACTGACAAAATATTAACAAATATGATAATGGTATTCACAGGAAAAATACAATTTCAAATCACATACCTTGAGTTTATGGTTTATTTTACGACAGCAAAATGGAATGGACTAGTACATTTGGTAGCACCAGTTAATATTTTAGTTCTGGGAGTGAGACAACTAGTTATATCAGTCTCTGAATTTCACCTACTTTCAACACTCAGCAAAAGGGCAGTGATGTAGTCAGAACATGACAGTGATACAATCCAGTGACATGACTTCAACTTAACCGAACCATTTTTCACATATATAAAACAAAACAACAATACATAACTTACCTTTACTGATTTTCTGAGCTGCCACTACTGGCTTGAAGAGCTCATTTAATTCAGAAAGTTCCTTCTTCTTATCTGCCTTCTTGTTCTTCTCTCCTTCAGCTGCAGCCACCTGAATTAAAGAAAAAGCAACACCAAAATTGTTTTTGATAAAGCTAAAGAATACTTTCTAAGCCCTGGCTGAAGAGCAATCCTGTATGCTCAAGAAGGCTTACTTTTACATTTTGAGTTTTGACAATTACAATAACAATTGAGTGCTTACATGTATTAAGAATTTAAGTGGTGAGTTTCACTATTTTGATCATTAACATAGGGTTGTAAGCCTTAAGTATACCAGAGAGCTATTATTGCCTATTCAGTCTGTAAAATGACATTTATTTCAACAACAATGATCATTTATTCACAAACAATAACATAATAACATAAAATGGAACTACAAAAACAACAAAGCATAAAATGTGACAAAATACCTTTCTTTTAAACAACAAATGTTTCAGAAGGCAAACATCTCAAGAACTTAATCCTATACAGATACGACTTTCAGCTGATGGTTTTACCTGTCGCGCGTTCTGCTGGCCATACTTCACTTGTTGCGTGACAGCCTTGATGAATTTTTGCTGTTTGGCTCCCTTCTTATTCTTCAATCCAAAAGTCTTGTCCTGAATACAGATAAATAGAACATAAACAATGAGAATTCATTCCTACGCACCAGTTATTTTAATAACAATACCCCCCGCCCAAATACTTATCATTTATGCTTTGTGTGTGTGTAATTTGCGTCAAGTATGCTTTGCTACAAAAACACATCCCGTTGATTAATGACAGAGACGCGACTGTCGGGGGGTCCAAAATCTGAAGAAGACAGTATCAGATAGCGCTCGTTCTTTGAGCCAGAAAAGGAAACCGCAAAACTGAATTTATTACGAGATTTGGTCGGTTAAAGCCCCGCTCGGTTTTATAAGGCATAACTATGGTTTTCTCAGACTCAAGACTAAAATTCCGTAAATTCGACCACACGAATGCGATCCACAACACTACCCAACTGTCATTTTTCTTACAGTTTCACAGTTTACCTAAAACTGTGCGAATCGACTTCTACAGATTAAAATCGAAAAGCCCTATTTTAAAGAATTACAAGGGCTGTCAATTTCCCGATTTTAGCACATCACTATCTACACGAAAATGATCACCGCATCCGTAAAGCCCTAAACTACAGCCGGCCAGGCTAGGCCCGAAATGCAGCATGGTTCAAAATAGAGGAGTTGCAATTTACCGGTTGTACTTTTTTAAATAAAATAAAACACCATTTCTCTAACCTCGATAATTTTCTCCTTCTTCTTTTGGTCGGTTTTCTTATTAGCCGCTGGTTGCGCTGGTTTCTTTGGAGGCATATCGAAAATTAAGGTGCTGAAAAAAGAGCTCCTAGTCTCCGGTTAGGTGGATGAAGCGCTGGCTCAGTCGGCGTTCAGGCCCCGATGACTCTCTGGGAAATCAGAGTCTCGAAAAGCATTATGGGTTAGAGGCAGAACTCCCATAGTTCTAAATTCATTGGCAAAAAAAAAAAATCTCATGGTTGTATAAGTACTCCAAAGTTTTTGCTTCTTAAAAAAAATATTGTGTTATATGAGAATAAGAACTTTAACTTGAATATTAGTAAAGATATTCGATTTGAGTAACCTTTCTAAGACGTAAAATAATACAAAACTGAAGCTACAGTATGTTAAATAATGAAAAAAGCGATTGGTATTGGTAAGGATATGGGCAGACTAATGTGAAAATTAGCGTGGAAAAACTGAGTAGGTTCATGGAATATTTGTGATCATAGATACCAGTACTGTACTGTATGCCAGTACTCTTTTATTTTAAGAGGCTATTAAACAGCGTGTATACACTGCTACTGTCTTTTGTTTATTTAACGTTGCTTTTCAAAAATGAAAAAACGCTGTGATACTGAATCATGGATCACACTTTTCAATCATTAATTTTAGAGACTAATTTTTTGGTTGGGTAAATCTCCAACCACAAGTTTGGTGCTTTTTTCCTAAGACATATTAATCATATTATGGCATACTATGGTATGGCAACTGCAGTACTGCAGTACACTGACCGCAAAGCCCTACAGCGGGTGGTGAAAACTACCCAGTCCATCACTGGGGTTGCCCTCACATCTATACAGGACATTTATGACAGACGGTGATTGAGGAAAGGTCTAAGCATCATCAAAGACCCCACACACACCAGCTACAGACTGTTGTGACCTCTACTATCTGGAAAACGGTACTAGAGCATTCGGGCCCGGACTACCAGACTCAGAGACAGTTTTTACCCTCGCACTATCAAACTATTAAACTCCCAGCCTCTCTCACTCTCACCTCACCTCTCACCTATGATCTGAACCTCACAGTGCCTTCTCTCTTACTAAAAACTCAAACACACATTGAAATCTACCTTTACCTTACATGTCAAAAAGCTCACTCCCCATAACTTCTATCCCTTTATTAAATTCTGTTGATGCATGTTTTTGCACATCTGATGTTGTTTTTTCACATGACCTGTTACCCTTTTGTTGTTTTGCAGATTGCCTGTTGTTGTTTTGCACACTGCCTGTTGTTGTTTTTGGACGTTGCCTGTTGTTGTTTTTGCACACTGCCTGTTGTCTCTGTCTTTCTTTTGTTATACAATTGTATTGTTTTTTTCTGTACTACTTATCGTCCGAGAGCTAGCTAAATAGCATTGCGTCATACCGTATATATTATACTGTATATGAGTAGAATGACAATAAACTTGAACTTAAACTTGATCATATGTACTGTACTTTGCAAATGTTCATACTATATATTCACTTCTGTCTCCCCTGGGGGCAGTAAATATCATAAAACAAAAGCTAATGATACTGAAACAGTTTTGCCTCAGAAGTCATGTAATGGGAAATTATAATTGATGTAATTAATAATTAATGTAATTGGGATATACAGAATAAAACAATACATTACTTAAACTTGCAGAAAAACACATATCATTTAACTTTAGATTGAAAACAATGGATGTAATTGCATGAAAGTGACTGCTTAGGTTATCACCTGCAAAGACAAAGTTTTTAATAAGACTAGCTGAAAGAAATTTTTGTCAACCACCAACACTGAAAATAAACCCTATCTGGAATTCAACATTTCACGTAAAACTTGAAAAAAACATTTGTTCCATAATTATCTGTGGTTTATCAGATCACCATACATCTTGTCATTTTATACGGCCGCAGACGTTAAGAAAGGCTGGGCTTAATCTGTTTATGGATGGGAGACTTCAACAGAAAATCAAGTTGGTCCTGCAGGTATTGTTGGTGGGAAGGTACAGTAGGTGGTGCTCTTGCCCCTGGAACAGAATTAAAAAAAATCATTTTCAGTATAGTGACTGTAAAGACTGTGGTGTGTAGGAGCACTGCTCTGTCCAGATGTATAGTTAAACTGAGATTTAAACTATGTGCTCATTAAAGATCCCATGGTATTTTTTTATAGTAGGGATATTAACCGCAGCTTCTTGGCAAAAATTCAGTCATAGCCTATTTACACTGGCCTTCCTAAACTTTCAGTTTAATTGAATTTGTGAATACATTTCTCACTTTTAGAAATTATTTGCTGTGTGGGCTGTTGGTGCTAAATGGGTACCCCATGTTAACCAGGCGGGCGATGTACTTTAGTGGTAGATGAAGTGGGTCTCTTCCAATATGTAAAAAAGCTTTGTAATAAAATATATTCTATAAATCCCCCCAAAATTAGAATTTCCGGAGGCAATCATATTGAAGCATAATAATAGTATCAAAATGTATCCAAATTTTCTATCTTTGAAGCACAATATTTCATAAATATTTTAAAAATCAACCCTCTGCAGTTTCTGTAAAGCCACCTTCATTCAAGGTTTTGTCATAGTCATGATATTTGAGACTGATATTAGTCCTTCCAGAACTAATGGCACAATCATATCTCCTTTGTAGATCACCTTGCTTTTAATTAAAGTTGCACACTACGCAATGGTAAATGCTATGGTAATGAATACAAAGTTACTGATCAAAGTAGCAAACTAGATCATTCATTACTACAAGATCGTGCCTCATTAATATTTTTTTGAATTGGAGATTTTCTTATCCTTATACATATATACAGTAGATCAATATTTTAAATATGCAAAATGTCATGGATTCCGGTTGAGATATTTAAATAGATACCTTGCATAAATGAACAGGTAAAGGTTAATACCACACTGAAAACTAGAATGAAAAACACAAAGTTTTGGATGTAGAGCCTTCTTTAGGTGTGTGAGGCTCCCTACTCAAACATCATGGATCTTAAATGCCTGTTATATTACTGTATGTACGCATTTCTTTGAATGAGTTATTATCAAATAACTCTGTATTTAACAGCAGATTTAAATTGCCAATTAATTTTAATGGATGATAAATTTTCACATATTGCATGGTTGTTTGCGAACATGAATCAGATTTGATTAGCATTTTCTACATTACTTGTTAATTATTGCTCAGTAGATAATATAAAAGCACTGATCAGGAATTAAAGCTAGCATGTCTACCATTGACAAAAGTCAATTTTTATTATGCAGAGGACAATAGTGCATCATCAAGTTTTAATTTAGAATGTTGAGAAATACATACAGTAGTAATTTGATTTATGAATACTACAACACAACTATCATTACATACAGCACATTTTTAATTTAAATTACTTACATTCATGTAGTGCACCCAATTACTATATTGTCTCAGTCTAATCATATCAGATATTCTACAGAAATACTCTGTGAATCTGTTTTCTGTTTTCGGGTAATTTTTAATATATGTAAATGTTTAACCCACTGTCCACTATGATACTTTTGTGTTCTAATTACTTTGCTTTCTCTCTTATGCTTAAGATATGAAATACATTTTTAAGACATTTTGTCTCTGTTGCCTGCTCATAAATTGTATCTTATTTAATTTAACTCCTACACCATGATGTAATCTCAAGTATCCAGCTTTTGAAAAGCACTGTGTGCTTCAGTTTGTAACAAAATACAAAAACTGCATATCTAAAGTTTGCCTCATGGTGGCATTACAATCATTCTAAAACACATTACATTCTGCATGATCTAGATTGCTTCAAAGTGGAATTTACAGTTTAAGTGTATTATATGAAATATGAAACTGTAACAGTGTGAAACAATTGCTATTTTAAAGGACACAGGAGTGGTTCAGGATGGGATTAAAAACAATTCCTTATGATTACTAGAGGGAAGAGGAAAATTTTATGAAAAGCTTCTAAATTCTAAGTTCTATACTTAGAACGTTCTCTTGTAAATGTAAAATTATAGCTAAATTGAATTATTAGGCTGTACTAAATACTATATTGCCATACAGCAGTAATACCCCTGAGAGAGGATCTTCTCAATGCACTTGTATAAATAGTAACCTGCATTTCTGGGGATAACTTTGTATAGCAGGTCATTTTTGCACAGCACATAGTTATTGCGTCAGTTGTAAGCTCTGTTTAAACTGGTGACTAGTTTTATTTCTGTTCCAATGAGGCTAGAGAAAGCCAGTATGGCGTAAGATATACCAGTCCTGCTTTGCCACTGTGTCTTGGTTGTATGATATTGTGCCCTGTCTCTGGGATAAAAACACTCATTTGCCGTTATACTGTATGTGGATCTCCTCAGTTTCACTGAAACCCACACTAATATATTTCTGGTGGAAGAGTGGGATTGGAACCCATGCTCCGGAAGAGACTGGAGGACAAGAGAAGAATCTTCTTCAGCCATCCCTACCTGTTTCTCAGGTTCCTGGAGCATAACGATATAACACATCAACTCCTGTTTACCTGAGCCAGACACCACTCGAGGACCACCAGCAACTCATCCCCACCAACTTCCCCAAAATGGACTTGTTCTGGTCATCCTATCAAGCCTCTAACCACTTTAAAAGATTTTGTTTGTGTGTACACTATCTCAACTAGTCTGTTCTGAGCTATAGTATAATCATTACTATATTGCATTATACTACAATTAGCCCCTGCTAGTCATGTATTGTGTCTTATCTGCCAGAGAAAGGGATATTTCTTACCCTGTAAGAGACACATATAAACAGTATAGCAGACGGGTAGTTATTTAGTAAAGTTAGTTGTAAATTCTGTTTAATTTGGTTACACTATTTTTACTTTATATGTGTAGTACATCCTTGTAGTGTTAAGTCTGTTTTGTGTTATTTCCTGTTCCAATGAGGCAAGAGAGGAAGCCTGTATAGTCTAAGATCTACAGATGGAAACATTCATTTTTAATTTCCAGATAAATGTACTTCTCTGTGCTTCTCACATGACCATAAATATACATAAAGTGTACTCAATACATATACAGTACTTATGAAACTGCACTTTATGTGTAAAGTATATAAGTTCTTACTGAAGCCTAGAGGATCATCAGGCTGGCAGC